AGTGCTATCGAGAGCTTAAAAACGATATCGCGATAAGAAACACACGTGCTGCACTGTCGGGTGTGGAACACGTACTGAATTTAATATTATAGATATTAGTTTACTTGTTTAAAATAAATATTTGATTATACTTTTAGCAGTAATGTAAATGGTATTATATACGTGTATTAAATGTAAAAAAAAAAGAAAATAAAAAATAAACACATCATGGTAAAATTAATACCTTCTCAGCTTCGCATCGAAGCTAAAATGATAATACCATTATTATTGTAAAAAATATAAATTAAATTATAGTAATAAAATAAAATTAGTACAAAAATATTAAGCATAACCACCTTTATATTTAAATCGTCAATCATATTGTTTTATACTTTATATATTACTCACATAACAATTTAAAATTTTTGTTATTACTATAATTTTTAATTCTTGATAACAATATTCGGGCAATATTTTTTGATAACTCTTATATAATTCTAAAACATTACGGCAATACATAATATAATAGCAGAAAATTATTTATTCGCAATCTTTAAGTTCTGAAATTTATTGTAATCTATTAATCTATTACTATAATATTATATTCAAAATACTACCATCATTTGGTAGTTATTTTACAACAATAGTATGTACTCTGTAATATAGTCTATTATTTTTAAAGCTGGAAGTAAAACGTTTTTATAATATTTGGTTTAATTGTAATTTCCTGATCGATTGTCACTAGACCAGGAAGTTAATTTTATAAACATTTATATAAATGGTTGTATTATTAACTTTGTATTCGTAAAAGGAAAAAAACAAAATATTTTATTATATATGACGAAATGGAATAAATTGTAAAGGGGAGAGTACCTCGGGAGTACTGTGGTAATCTCTTTTCGTGTATACGTTTTGACAATAAGTCTTTTCTTTCGTGCATTGATTTACTGTACTTTAAGTGTATCTCTGTTGTGTACGTTTCATATTGTTTAATTATATTATTAATAATTACGTTTATGTTATTATTGAACTTTTATTACCATAAGTTACGGCACAAAGATTGTCTCTTTACAGTGTTGGCTCGTGGGTGCTGGTGGTGGGGGTGCGACTTTAAATATAACACCGTTAGTTATAGGTATAAAAAATTGTCAAATTAAATATAATAAAATAAAACACAGTACACATATTATTATTTTAATGGTCGCAGTAGAAAATAGAAATGGAAATAATCATAATAGCGATTATACTATTATAGCAAACGATAACGACGAGCGTACATGTAGTTAATTCTAAAAATAAATTACCCAATTCAGTAATATACTAATATTGTACTGTATGGTCGACGCTACTGGTCGTCCAAAACCCGTCCATAAGATCGCAGCTGAACCGCACCCGTACGCACACTATTGGGCACCTCGCTAATAATATACGTTACAAAATATTGTTCGGACGACGCTGTCTGTCGTCCAAACACTGCTCATGTGCGCATGCGTACCTGCGTCTACTGAGGGAGACAACTTAAATATTCGCACACGACAAATGTATTATAACTATTTTACTATTTGAAAATTTGCATTTTTAATAAAAACCTAGAATTAAGAACATACAATTCATTTTCTTCTTTAAATTAATTTTAGTGAGGGGTCGTCCAAGCCACGAGCCACCACTGTCTCTTTATAATACAGCTGGGTCTCTACACGACACCTCTTTGGTAGTAAAGAGTAATTAGTGCTGGTAACAGTCGAGTACCCTTAGTCTCATTACTCTTTGGGGTTACGGCTGACAGTCGATAGGCATATCCCTTAGTAGTGTTATATAGTTGAGTCAGTTAGGATCTTGAAGATTTTATTCATTTGTAAAAATAATAAGCGATACGATAACTCAAATGTAAAACATATAATGTTATCGGCAATATATTGTTGTTAAAATATCGAACTAAAAAAGTACGAAATATTTTTTTATACTTTTATCAATATTTTTTAAGTTGAATATTTTTAAAAGGCTGTATATAACATTTTTCTAACGTTAATATAACATTTTCTGTTGTTTTCATGAATAGTTTAGTTATTTTTTTATTGTGATTTAAACTTGAAAAGTCTCATTTATCATTACTTAAAAATAGTTTGCCTTTTGTTTTTCTGAAAAATCAATATTTTTACTGGATCCCCTTTTTTATATTTGTTTGACTCTTGTAAAAATTCCCATTTTACAAAAATAACTTCACTTAATAGATTATTAACTTGAATTCATAATATTGTATATTTTAAAAATTTTATTGTTAAGCTTTATGTTGAAGATATTATCTAATATGAAAATAAAATTTGAATCTTTGAGCATAATTTTATAAAAGTCATAATTATTATGTGAACAGAAAAGGTCTAATATTTTTTTTTATAAAATAAGTTTGATATGTAAATTATACATGTAATATACCACTGAAAAATTAAATTACAGTAATTTTACATTTCCCCTATTTTAAGTAAAGCTTTTATTGAACTATTAAGCTTTTATATTATAAAAAGTAAAGTATTGCTTAATTTAATAAAATACGTTTTTAGATAATTTATGGCAACTTAATAAATTAAATTATGATTATAATTTACTAACATGTGAGTTTAATCTGGAAGTATCTCAAAAAAATCACATCTAGATCGTTTATCTAATAAATAATCGATTATTTAACTTTAAATAATCGACATCCTATAAAATTGTGCCTTTATTTTTAGCATTTATATCAAGATTAAGTCGAACTTGTTAAATAAGTAACTTAGCATATTTAGACAGAGAATAATTAACTATATTGAATTATTACAAAAATTATTTTAAAATATGAAGTACCATGAAATGCTAGTATGGTCTTGCACATTAAGGGCATTTCTTTTTTTTACCATATAAATATAGGATTCCTTTTACAATTATTCTTTAAGTTATTTTAATAAAATCACCTTATAATAAAATAAATATTGTAAAAACTTTTATTTATTTTATTTATTGAAATCATGTACAATTTGTACAAATAAATGTATAATATTCTTAATATGAGTCATAATCATACATAATATAAAAATCATGTATTAAACTATATTTAGATTTGACACTCAAACTACTTCTATACATATAATGTCTTAATAGTTGTTATTTTATTTAAGTATGATAAAGTTTTTTATAAAAAAAGTGATTTGTCAAACTATTTTTAAAATAAATATCAAATATCATTTTAAAAGACTATTACTAAAACTAAGACATTAGGCAAGACTAATATCTTACCTATAATTTTCAATATAATAGACTAGTATCAGATAATTAATTTGACGACCTATTTTTTCTATGATAAATTGTCTAAAATGTAACTTTAACCCAGCCAATAGGAGATCATAGACATTGTAGCACTTCTGGATATGTTGCTGATATTGGCATTATGTGCACAGTCATATATTTATATTATTATTCACACTCTATTTCCCTGAATAACTGGTTATTTAAAATCATCATTCAAAGGCAACACAGTGTAATCATATATTTTGTAGCCATAGTTATTTATTATTATTTTTTTGATAAAACAAATTGTATAATATTATATTCTAAATGTGATTTTAAAAAAATTCAATGCCAACATTTTATTTTTTAACGTATAGACCAAATGATTTTTGTAACCATAGCGACCAGTTTTACATCATAAACTTGAAACAAAACAATTCTCATAACTGTGTATAAATAGTATGAATTTTAATTATATAAAAAGATTTTTTAATAATATATGTTGCTTTTTTCCTTTATGTAATGATTTAAAGAAATAAAAACATAATGGCTAAAAAAGTGAAAAAAATGTCACAAAAAAACAAAAAAGTATTAGCTAACAAAAGATCTGCAGATTCAAACCGTCGATTATCTTTCAAAATGAATTTTAATTCTATAAATGTGAGTTGTTTTGCAGTTTTTTAACAACTATTCATACGACTTAAATAGCTTAAGAGAATTGTCATTTTTAAAAGTTAGTTTTTAAATTAAAAACTAAAAGGTAACAATTTAATAAACTATCGAGTATAACTTTTTTTGGTTTAACTTTCAATTATAAAATTTAAACCAACAATATATAATTTTATATGGATATAAAAAATATTAACTTAGTACATTCTGAGTAAAAATAAAGAGAAAAAATGGTTATTAATACATAAAATTCAGGAAAATCTGGAATAGTTATTACAAATACTGGTATTTTTATATACTTTTTTAATTTTGTTTTATATTAAAGTAATTGAATAATGGTATAATACAATCTTAAATATTTTTTAACGAAAAAGACGATATTGAGTTTAGATTTTACGTATGACAGTTGAATAATTAATTATATATATTTGTAAACAAAGGTTAGACGTTTTGTTGAATAAATTTTAATATTTGATTAATACTTTATACACGTCATCTTACCAAGAAATGTTATATTAACTATTTATCAACAGACATAAGTATTTGTTGCGAATTTTCGAAATTTCCTGTATTTTTTCTATTAACAGCAATTATATTCTTTATAATTACTCTAAATGCACAAAGTAATATTTTTCAAACGCTTATAAAATTATCTTAAAACGAATCAAGATAACGTTTTTAATTTACGTTGGTTTGGGTTTTCAAAGACACAATTTTTCGCTTCTCTTAATAAATTTTTGTAGTCATAGAGACTTTTTGAAAATTGTACTAATATTTATTCATGTGTCAAAAAATAAGTATTACTAACTGCCGTCTTCTTTATCTTTTACGAAATAGCAAATACACGTATTAATTATAGTGTTCGTATTTGTATGTGTTTGTCAACCTAACTTTGGCACGGAAATTAAAAAAATAATAATAATAATATTATGAACTTCCATCGGACCCTGCAGAAGCACGTGACCGACGTCATCATTGACCGTTGTAGGGGTTAACGGTGTTTCCAACCGCCACGCGAGTGCACTCCTTAGCTAATGTTTTGGCAGTAGGGCCGTATCAGTCATGCCGTTTGCCAAGCCAACGTCTTTTTAGTGCTGCCGGTGTCATTCACGCTGTTCTCGCTCGACTATCGTTCATTAACAAAGCAAATAATATTAGTTAAACTCATGTGTCTCATAACTTAATTTTTTCTTGGCGATTTGCAATTAACAGTTTTTAAATTGCCAAGATTTCTTATTTTACAATTAAAATAACTATACAAATCGATATAACATTAAATTTATTGACGTTTATTTTTCATTTTTTACGCACTTAAAGAAAACAAAATTAAAAAACAATATGGTAGTCTCGGGAGATGATCACGCAATGGACGTACTACTAGATAGACTAGCACCACTAACCGCCAAAACAACTGAGAATCTAGAAAAAATCAGAAAAATTGCATGTAAACTAAATGGACGTGTCAACAACACTGGTAAATAGTTTTTGTATTAAAATAATGATAAAAGAAAAAAATTTACATGAAAAAATACTTTAATATTGATTCATTTTAACGAAAGTGTACATAATTGTTCATATTGGTTCAATAAAAATTCAATATTTTTGAAATGATAGTTCTGATAATTATATAGCATAATAGATAGTTCGGTATATCGATATACAGATAATAGACTAAAAATATTACTGAACTCTAATTCAACGAAACTGCCACTGCTTACAAAACTACTATCTTGTTGTGTATTTTCCAGATTCTGGCAACAGATAAACTTGCAAGATTTTTCGTTGTTAATGTGTTAACATAATGTTTATAGTAAATAATAACCGCGAGATTTAGTAATAAATAAAAATTTAGACATTTTAGAAGAAGAAAATAATAATAAAAATATATATTTCTTAATTTTGAACTGAAATGTTTGTTTGACACTCATCATTTCTGCCAACAGCTTTTTAAAGCTCAAATTATGAAACATTTATTAGTATCAATTTCTTATAAGAATTAAAAATAGTAGATAACGGTTTTTATCAATATATAGAGATAAGGGTTTGATTTATCTCTGATTCGGCAAATGACATTCAATAATTCAATGGAAAGTTAACATAACCCAATAATTTTTATGAGTATTGACGTCACTGACGCAATATCAAAATTATCATTTATAAAATATTTATAACAAATGAAATTATTCATTATAAAAGCTTAAGAATTTTTAAAATGTATTAAAAATCTATAATTACAAGAGACATCTAAAAAAATTTGAAGACTTTTTTATTCTAAATTAAGTGTAACCAAAAAATTGGCTATGCATTTGTGTTCTGAAAAGTGTTCTTTTTTTGTATCTAACAATCAGCGTGGTTAATTTCAGCGTCTACTTCATACATTTAATTAATAGAAAATTTTAGTAGAAAGTTACTAGTAATTTAGGGAAATTTCTAGTAAATATATTATATTATATATAAATATAAATATGAAAATTAGTCCATAGAATATGTTATTATTGTTAAATTTATGTCATATTTTTATAATTATTGAATACTTAAGTAAGTAAAATGAATTAATATTTTTTTTCAGCTTAATGACAATTAACTATTTTAATTTATGGTGAACTATAATCTTATATAAAATTCAATCTTTCCTGATGGTCTTAAAAATACGTTCAACTTGCACTTATAAAAATAATTTCCCTTTATTTAATAAAATTACTATTTCATTTTTACATGAGCAATTATACATAATAACCCTAAAGTTTTTATTTTATAGCATATATATTTTTTATGGTATTTATCACTTATTTTGTTTCTATATTTCAGATAAAATTGTCAAAGACAAATCGTTAAATATACTTAGAAAAACTAAATCTGAAAAATTAACAGACATTATCAAATTATATGAAGTAAGTAAATCATTGAATTTTGTTTATTTAACACTATAAAAATTAGAATTTTAAATAAGAAAAACGTTTTATTAGAACCTATGGTAAACAATTCAAAATTAAAAAAAAATATTTTATAAGTTAGTTATGTTAGGCCCAATTTGTTTATTTTATTTTTAATTACAATAATATTGTAAATTAAATTTATTTTTATTATTCTACATAGTCATCGGCGTGGTCAAAATTATATCCAGAACTAATATTATTGTATGCGAAATTCATATGCGTAGTACTGTTTTCCGCCAACTTTATAATTTTTAAATCATAAAATCAAAAATATTGCCAAATTTTTATGTTTGTTGTAAGTATAGACGCTTTTATAAACGTTCCGGTCAAATTACTTTTAATGAAACGTTGGCTCATACACACCATATATTATATGTTTAATGATACATAGAATTGCGTGATTATAGTTATTATAATGGTTTGACCACCAAAATTTTGTTTTTATAAAATTATTATTTTGATAATTAAATCAAATTTTGAAATATACTGAAAAAAATTATTATAGAAAAATTTAGTTAACAGTCATAACAGAAATATACGACACTAGTGTAAACGAATAAATACGTTTCATTGTCAAAATAAACCATTATGAGAAACATTTTTTTTTAACTTTTCGAAAAAGTTCATTTGCTTTACAAATTTTTTGTTATTTTTATTTTACGAGATTTTGTCCTTGAAAATGTAAGAACCACTGAGTAATATAATAAGTTATAATTTCTATTTTAATAACATATGTAAAGTGTAAAAAAGATTGGCAAACAACTATGTCAATTAATTTGCATCTTAACCAATTAAAGTATAACAAACGTAATTATTTTCAACATTTTATTTAGAACTTTCTAATTTTACTTATTTAAGGTTAAAGGTACTAAATATTAGTTGTATTTTTAAATGAATATTCCATTAAACACATTTATGTGATTAAGTTTTTTAAAAATGCCTGGAATATATTTTTCGTTTTCTGGGCTGTATTATATTAATATTAATATTATTAATTATTAAATATATTGAATAAATAAAGTTTTATTAAAATGCACCTTTTAATTTACTAGGAACATAATAATTAACTGCTAATTAGTTATGTCAACATAAATGATTGGTGACCTAATAAATCATTACTGAACTAACACCAAAAACTCTTTTCACTTAACAAAAAGTTAAATGTAATAAGTTTTTGGTGTTACTAATAGCAACAAAACATGAAACGCATAATAAAAACAATAATCAATTGTTTGTTAAATGTTCAAATAAAAAGTAGCATGAATGCTCCTTTTACTTAGAATCAACAACTTAAAATTGAAAGGTTTTTAGTCCTATTTATTTATTTTTATAAATTTAGTTACTTCATAATTACAGTCATTAGTTAAATTAAATCAATAAACTTGTTTTCAGTATATAAATTTAACACAATTAAAACAATAAAATTGAATAATATCACCTTTGTTAATGATAAGCAAGATAATACTTATTTATTCTATACTATTATTTCTGATTATTTTTGTGTCATCCAGAATCTGACTTATTCAGTTATTTCTGTTTTAAAAGCAAATTAGTTGTCCCTCCTAATAACGTATTGGAGTATTATTTATTAACTCCGAAGGTAAGTTAAAGAGAAAGAAAAGGCTAAAACTCCAATCAATCGATATTTGAACGTGTTAAAAACACATTTTTATTATAATTTCCTACAATAACAAAAATAATAAAGGTTTGTAATTTTTTTTCTTTCATAACCCAACTATACCTTCACGAAAAATCATGAACATGCCACTTACCATCCTTGAAAAATGTAAAATGAAGATTCTTATTTTTATTTATTATTCATAATTCTTTTTTTATTAGAGCCTATGGAAATTTAGTAGCTAAATTATACTTGTACATATCACAGTAAAATTAATTTAATTTATCTCAAATAAATTATATTAAATATATATAAAACTCTGGGAAGCATATTTTTATTACCAATTTTTTTATTGAATATTCTATTAAAATTATTTTCTGTAGCAGAAATTAAAAATATGTAGACAATAAAACAAAAAAGATTAAATATGGTGTTAAAGAAATGTTGCCATTTAAAACTTTTTAATAATAAAGTACACAAAATGTTTCGGTTTATTTTTAATATAACATGACTGCATAATATTTAATATCTTACCAAGTGAAATTGTTGAAAAAATCGTTCAATTTATATTGAACTAAAAAATATTTTATATTATATAGTATAAAATGTTGTAACTTAGTTGGAGAATTAATTTATGCACATATGAATAATAGGCAACTTGAATGATTTTTAATTAAAATAAATGCATTCAAAGTAGGTAATTCAATCAATGAAATGTTATTATAGCATACTATCACGTTGCTAAACAAACAATGGCCGTGTACAAAAATCAGCAACACATAACAGTAATTTCTGCGTGTTCTATGAAATTTATATTTATTTTTAGGTTACTGTAAAATTTAAATTATAATTAAATCTTGTTGTATCTAATTACTTGCTAAAAAGTTAGAAGTATGAAAATAATTGTAAGTATAATTTATTAAAATACATTTTAACGGTAATGCCTTATTTTTACCAATATATATATTGTTTAATTTTTTTACTATTTAATTTAATTTGTATCATAAAAAAAGTTTTTTTGTATTTACATCCAAAATATACATAAAAAAAGAGTAATAGACATTATAGACCGCTGGGAAAATCTATAATCTCTCAAATGACAAACATTTGATTAATTTCTTTTGTATCGAAAAATAATAACATATGAAAATTGGATAAGTTCATAAGATGTTCTGATAAATCCTATAACTTTTAATACAGTGACTATTTTTCAAAACTCTTTTTTATATATCTTACGGTTTAGGACTACAGTAATAATATATTTTAAAATGATATGATTCAGTTCAATGAAATCGAAATGAAAAACGCATATAATAATTTTAATATTATCATTTTAGAAATAAAATCTTATTGGTATTACTTTATCTCAAATTAAAATAAATAGTAAATATTAAAAAATTGAAAAATTGATTTAAGTAGCCTAAAACTATGATGAAGATTTTTGTTGAATAATAATTGATAAGAATTATTTGACTAATCTAGTAGTTAAGTCAGGACTATCATTAAGGGGATTTATTGTAGGAGCAATAAAACCCCCAATATTTTTTTAGGGCAAATCTCCATAGTAAAGAGCATAAACTACAAATATTGTCAAAATATATATTTAATTATATTTTAATATTGGTAGTAATGATTTATATAATATATAATGTTCTTTATTTTGATTTTAATATTATCATCATTAGTTCAATGAAAAATTATAGTGATGAGAAAAAAATATTGACTTTTTTTTTCTCAGATTTATTATTTTAAGGGCGATTATAGAAAAAATTTGGAAACCAAAACTCATGTAGCCATTCCACAATAAGATATTACATATGGCCTTAAGATAATTATTATTAGTTTACTATTATTAGTTTAAAAATCCTTAAATATTATCTTTTATAATTAAGATATTTATTTAGTTCAATCAGTTCAATTATTAAAAATATATTGTGAGGAGTATAAATGAATTACTAGATTGTTATGAATAAAATGTAAAGCCTGTACCTTGACTTAAAACTATTGTAATATAGAACTATTAAATATTAAAATACATTAAGGCTTATTACAAACAAAATAACATTTATCCGTTTTATTAAAGATTATATTAAAACATTTTATTTTATTCAATACGCACACATGTTGTTGTCTATTTAACATAATATTAATTTTGTGTTTAAAAAGTTTTAATCAATATATCAAATTTATTTTAAGTATTTCACTAAGTAAACTACATATTTTCCAATAAATAACTAAAAATTGCACTTGCATTTGAATCAGGCATGTGTTCAGAATTTTTTCAAAGGGGAACGCAAAAAGTCTTTTAAACGTCAAAATTATTACTTTTACCGATTTTTTCATCCAAAAACTATTCTCCTTTTATTTAAATAGGCAACAACAGTTAAAGGAGGGGTTACACGCTTTTGACGCCCTATCCCTGGATCCGCCACTGATTTGTATAAAACGTGACATAAAAATAGAAATAGACAAGTCTATCGACAATATATTGAACAATAAATGAGTCATGACAGTTTTTAATAAAATATTACTGTTAAACACTAAGTGAGAAATTAGATCACCAATATTAAATAATAAAGATATCAAATGAATTATTATCGTATTGTTAACAAAATTAACAAATTTCAATTTCGATTAACGACTATTTATTTTGCCTTGTGAAAAATGAACACCATAAATATGTTACTAATAGAAAGATAATATTTATATCACTCTATACGATTTTCGTTTCAATTATGTTCTAATTCAAGCGATGATAATTTTCATCAAACAAATCACTTGTTTATTAATTATAGTATAGTATAGGCACTATTATTATGTCTATACTGTGTCTCATGTCCCAGGCCCGGATAGGCTAGGCGAGCTATCGAAAATATTTTAGTAGGCCTTTTTAATTAGAGGCACCTCAAAAATATTTAGGTTTAGATGATAGTGATAATTATAATACTATGATAAAGCAACTAATAACAAAATAATAACAGCTTTAATCTACGACTTACATAATTTATAAAACAGCTTAAAAAAATATGTAAATTTATATATAAATGATCTCTTATTTGAGAAATGAGGCAATTTTAAAATATTGAACTAGTAGAAAACAATAAAAACTGTTTCAAGCTGCTATTGGTATGTTGCTTTGAAACTGAAATGGCTAAAGAAAATTATTTTTTGACCACACCGATCGAGTTAATACAAAAAAATAAATAATGATCCTATTTTAACTTAAAAATATTCTCTTGTGGACTTATTCTTCCAGAATTTTTTGTTCATCTTTCAACATTTTTAACTAATTGAGTTTTTAAAAAAATTTTCTAATTTTATAGAAAATTGTCAATAA